AAAAAAAACACAAGTTTTGTTGTTTAGTCTTTTCTATAGAACTTTTTTGTTTCTCTTTAGTTTAGCACATTATCTTGTTGACAGTGTGATTCTATTGAGTTCGACTAGGTCAATGTGTTATTTTGTTCTATTAACTGTTGATCGAAATTTTTATACTTCGATTACAGTTGTCCGTCTATTTCTGTTTTTGTTTGCTGTTTTTGTTTTTCATTTCATTTTGTTTTCTTCGTTTTACTATATTCTGTTGCTATTGATAGAAACAATAGCAATAATATAGTTTTTGTTCCTTAAATTTGAACTGTTTATTGACCGATTTGTTTTGTTTTAAGATCTAAGATATGACAGAAACAAACAATGGTTTCTTGTCAACTATTTTTTTTCTCAAAATATATACCGAAAACTAAATTTATTAGATTTTATGACTATTTCATAGGGAATATTCGTGTCGGAAAAATGGTAGTCTATAAAGATGAATATGATAAGTTGATTTGAGATGGATGATTTACATGTTAAAAAGGAAGATGAAGTGTTTGAATATATTGTTATGAAGTTTGTAAATAAGACGTTTTCCTCACAGGTATATTACGTAATTTATCTATGATCGAAAGTTTGCCTGATCGCTTTCTGTGATTGAGTATTAAGTGACCTTAAATGAATGGCAGAGACTAAGCCTTTCAGTTTTAATGATTGTCGAGTTAAGGGACTTGTTTCATGATCTACAATTCGTTTTGCAATAGCTGCTTATTCATATACATGATTATCTTTTGCAATTACTAGATCAATTTAACAATGTTCAAGTCCCTTCTATATTATAATATTTGCATCAACGTCATTACAATTAAAAAGATTTGAACGACATTGGGTTGCTCTTTGTATCTAAGATTAACTTATATATCTGTAAATATAATTCAAATTTTCAGGAATAATCTATATGCAGATAGTTAAGGAGAACGGATGATGTAAACAAGTTAAATTAATAAGAAGTAAGATGAGTACATCTAATTGCTTTAATTCAATAAAAAGTGATTCGAGATGAGCGGGTTATGAATCAATGATTATATTTAAGAGACAATCCGTGAGACTACTAAATATTGCGATCGAAGCTAATTTTTATTTTTCTCACAAGTCTAAATTTGAATGCCAGTATATGTAAATATGAACTGTATGTTAGAAATCATAAAAAAAGAATATGGGAATATGTTTTGCGGTCAGTAAAATAATTAAAATATCAGTAAATATATTAATTGGTCAGTTTTCAAAAAAATCAGTAAATAATTCAAAAGTGGTCAGTAGATTTTGTGGAAGTAGCAGTGAAAAAATATGATTTTTGTCAGTAAAAAAAGAAAAGTAGATTATCTTTGTACAAATTTATAGTTTTTCACTTTCCATCTTATTTTATTTACTGACCGTTTCATTTGTTCTATGGACCACTTAAATGACACCCAAAGAATATTTCAAATCATCTTTCACATATAATTATATTTTTCTTTCAATAATAAAAAAGTAACAAAGAAAAAGAAATACATCTAGATATCATATATAACGAAAATCTAAATTAACATCTGAATTATTATAATATAAAACAATAATTAAAAACTAATTAACACAAATGATATGAGCGTATAGAGAACAAATGTAAAACCAATATCAAGTAAATACAATGTACGACGTTGTGTATATTCGATTTTTTTTCCAAAAAATACCGAATTCCAACCATTAAACTAAAAATTTACATAAATAAAATATAAAGAATAATCTTTGAAAACTTACAGTATAGAATCCACATAATATTGCTGAAGCCAACATAGCACTAAGATATTGTTGTTTTCGAATATCGAAAGCAATTAATAGTATATTCAATAAAAATGAATTTAATAAAGCTCCTATATTTGACATAAGCACAGCTGTACTATTACATTGATCATCTTCTTTCCATTGTACTGCTTGCATCCATTGTTTTTGGAAACCTATTGGTGAATACCATGTATAACTAACAAACATATTAATACTCATAATTAAAAAAACTTTAACTAATGATCCTAATGTAAATGATATTGGTAGGAGTTCTAACATTCTTGTCGGTGAAATAGAATAACTAATGATTTAAGAATAAGAAATGAAATATATCCAGACTATAAAGTACATTGCTGATGTATATGATCTTTGTTAATCTCTTGTTCTATTTTCAGCCGTTTATTAATAGTTATAGATATATTATTGATATGAAAAAAAATAATTGTAATATTGTGACATCGAAATTATGAAAGAAATAATAAATTATTTTAATAAATTTCGAATAAAAGAGTTCACTACTATCAATGTAAATATACTTTTCGATTTACATAGAATAAATAGAAAATAAGTTACGATATATTCTGTATTATCAAGTAAAATAGCAAATAAATAATGATATATAACTAAACCAGTTAAATTATAAACGACATACTTCAAGTTAAGCCGTCTGATAAAATAATTTAAAGACAAATATAAAATCATAATACAACAGATGAAAATCTATAGTATTTTTATTTAAACTAGCTCATATTCAGATGTTTTAATCCAGTTTAAATTGCGTTGTTTGTAACTAGAATAGGTATAATGCTATCTCTAATAGATGCATTTGTTAGTATAACCTTCGAGAACAGCATTACAATGGGGCATATGCGAAATCCTTTACATTTTATTTTATTTTCATTTGTTTCTTTTTTTTGATAAGATATCATATGTCCATAGATGAATAATAATTCACCATATATACTAATAAGAATAGTAAAAAAAGAAAATAGAAATAAAAATATGTTAAATATTTTAACCAACATTTTTTCGAGAATTGGTCAATAAGAAAAAAACAAGGTGAATTTATGGGTTGCAAACAAGTCAAAATTCTACCAACTCGTCGAGAGACGAAAAATGAGCAGACACAAATCGAACCCACTGAAGCACAAGTAACTATCGTTCAACCTATATCAACAACATCAGAAACAAATCCAGTAGTCGTTTATCGAAATCCATTAAATGAATTAAAACGATTGACTATCGTATCTGTCGTTTCAAATAAATCCGATGACTCAATAGAATGTCCCAAATCGACTACACCAAAAACGCTTAATTTGGATAATTGTCATGATACTACGAATAGAGCTACTCCAAGCAAATTTGGTGAGACAAGTCTAATACCTATTCATTCAAACGAAGTATTGAAATCTCGAGAAAATATTTCTAGATCTTCGACTATGAATTCATATAAATCGAATATTCCTGACGATGGTGTGACTATAGCATCAAATGAACCAGCTAAATCACCTTCAATTTATCGTTCTTCTTTTTCATCGTCGGCTAATTCAGAAATTCGAGCACATGGTCAAGATGCCATCTTAAGATTTATATCTGCTAGACCAAATAGAATTACTAATCAAGAATCAACACATCATGGTAATTGGAGTGAACACGATGAATCTTATTCTCCTCATGATAGTATTATTAGTACTATATCAGCTGATTCAGAAGGATCAGTTGTCGATGAACCACGCGGTACTAAAACTTTACATATTCATCCAAAAAAATCAAATCTTCAACAAAAAATTTTACCACATGATCCTTCAAGCGATTCCGACGGATCCGAATTACATCGTGTCACAGATACTAATTCACCAAAAGGAGATGTCGAATTAATGACAAAACATCTAATATGTGATCTCAGATCAGTATCTGCTAAATTGAGCAATCCGGAAAGGCGTTCAAAAGGTGTAATTAGTGAAACCACTACAAGTGAATCCGATGGAAAATAAAAAAACTTCAAACGAAAACATTTTATTTTCGTAATTTATATAAATATTCATTTCTACGATAAAATTACAAAGCAAATTATGCTACTATATCAAATGTAAAAAAATCGAATGATATATTTTTTTGTATTCATTTATAGTTTAGTATTATATCTTGTTGTATATTTAAAGAATACGATATGCTTTTGTACATCAAAAAGTTTTGAAAGATATTTTTCATTTCGCCTATTCTTATGAGAATTGAATTCAAGGTTTATTTCTTTATTCAGCATATTAAACAGTTATTTTATCGTTAATCGTTGCCTATCAACATTGTTATACAAAACGAATTTATGTGTTACTGTTACGTAAAAGAGTACATTATATTTGATCATAATCGAATAATGATATGTGTAAATATATTTGGGCAATTCAAATGAATCATATTAGTAAATAAGTGAAATAGAAAAAAAAATTCTCTCGGTTTTTTTTCTTCTTCTTCTTGACATTTACATAAATATGAAATCTTTCTGTTATGTAAGTTTTCTATAATAGTAAATAAATGTTTATCTTTTAACAACGATAAAATTGATAACAGTAAGAACTCATTGCATTTCATCATAAGATTTTTGTTAGATAGATGTCATTATTAAATGCATTTATTGACTCAATTGTTTGTGTGGGTTTTAATTCAGAACGTGGTTTTACCATTAAAAAACAATTTGATGATAATAATGATTCTCCTTTTCAATCATCAATTAAACCATATGTATTATCTATGCTAACAGCTGATCAAGCACTATATCCACAATCAAAAGACAATGAAGTCATTGATCAATATTATCCATCGATCTTCTATTCCAAATCTTCATCTGTATTACCTTTAAATACAAAAGTACCAAAAAAACATATTATACCTATTGCATATAATAATTTACCACTTTTCTGTTTACCTGAGGATGTTAAAATATCACATCAATCAGAAGACAGTAGAATACATTACATTGTATTTACACAAGAAGATGGCAAACGAAGTTATGCTGTAGTACTTACATTTCCAGAAAAATTTATTCTAAAATCTGTCGAACCAGATGAAGATGGTAAATACGAAATTGAACCATATGTAGTAAAACAAGTTACGAAAAAGCCAAAGAACAGAATACCATCATCATATCGTTATGAAAATAATACATCTCATAGAAGTAGTACTTCCAGTGGTGCTTCTCGTATGCGAGAACGTTCTCAATCAAATACATCACTTCGTACATCAAATACAAATGTATTTAATGCATCCGAACCTTTTTACTTACCACATTGTCTTGTTCTTATTTCTTCACATACATACTGGACAGCAATGCAAGAAACAATTTCAATTATTCATGATGAAATTCTGCAATTAAAAATTGAACCAAGTTCAAATGCATATAAACAATTAATACAAAAATATGCATTTCTTGCTTGTAATACACCAACACCGCCTATACCATGCGACCATTTTTCACTTTCATTTAGTATATCAAATAATCAATATTTAATAACATTAGATCCACCAATAAATTCGAATCGTACTGTTCTTGATTTAGATTTATCTATTCTTCTATTAAAACTTAATATTGGAAAATTACTTGATGTATTATCAGCTATATTAACTCAACAACCTATAATTTTTTTTAGTTCAGATTATTCAAAATTAGTTACAACACTTGAATGTCTTCTTTATTTAATATATCCATTTAAATGGATTCATATTTATATACCAATTGTACCTGATGGTTTATCTGATTATTATCTTGAAGGTCCACCTGGTTCATATATTATGGGTGTACATTCTCGTCATCAAGATATTGTTGAAAGTTTAGATCTATGTTTAACGTGTAATTTAGATAATGATGATAATATTCTTATTCCAGAAAATATTGAATTTCATCCTATACCAGCAACAAAACTTCGTCGTTTTACTGGTCCAATAACTGAACATCTTCATAATATAAAAACTGCACGATCATTACAAAACATTCATTCATTAGGTCGTTTACGTTATGATGAACAACGTGAATTAGAACGTCAACATCGTATTGATACAAATTATAAAATAATTACAATATTTCTTGATTTAATGGTAGATTTATGTGATGATACATTAAAACCAATCTATTGGAAAATTGATCATCAACAAAAGAGTTCATCGTTAAGACGATCATCAACTATTGATTTAAATAATCGTGTATCAAATAAAACAATATTTAGTAAAGAAAAATATTTACTTTCAAAAACAGAAGGTATCGAACAAGAATTCTACAAATTATTTATTGATAGTACAGCTTTTCAACTGTTTATCGAAGACGAAATGGCATCTAAAATACCAACTGAATTTCAAAAAATTTGTCAGTTACGTTCATTATCAAATCAAGATCGATCATATCATTTTAATACAGAATTAATCGATGATCATGTAAGTAAATACATACTCTTCGTATTAATAAATTATATTTTTTGTTCTATCTTCAAGGTTGAATCAACCATGTCATTATTTGAAACAACATCAAATCAAATGTTATTACCATTACCAGATTGGCCTTTAAATATAACAACACATTATCTAGATAGTTGTATTGAAGTATTTACAATTGAATTACTTCATGCACAAGAAGAACGTTCACAACCTATAATATCAGTTTATGCTTATTTACGTGGTTGCGCATTATTAACACGTGGTTATCTTCTTAATGGTCTTCAAGATCTTTATTTAATTGATAATGAAAATTTATTTCCTAAAAATTATATTGAAACAATGATTATACCTCTTCTATCAGAAGCACATCTGCTCGATCTATTTCGTCATGAATCATTCTATATAGAATCAATTGAATGGAAAAAAATACGTACAAATTCAATTGATTCAGATATGTTACAATCAATTAATCTTGAACAAAGTGATAATTCATTAGATGATAATATTTCTGTAAAACCGTTTAATGATGTTACTTTGAATACTAAGCCAACTGTAATAAAAGATGATCTTACATTTGAACAATTCTATGAATATGTACATCGATTAAGTATTATTATTGATAAAGATAGTGCAACAATTTTATTTAGAGCTTTATTACATTTAATAAAGACAACAAATAAACCTGTTGATACGTTCAAGCGGAATCGACGATGGTCAATTTCAGGTAGTCTATCTCGAGAAACAGTAAATACATTTAGTACCCAACCACGAGAGAATTCAATACAAACTGTATCGCTTAATTCATCATTATCTGGAAAAATTTTTGAAGTATTTCTTGAAACATGGCAACATATAAATGTTGAAAAAGTACGAATGAATTCTTATTTACCAAAAGATCGACAGAAAAATGAAACAACTCTTATAGTAAGATTTATGATATAATATTTATTTTAATAGTATGAAATATTATTCAGATTTCATCATCGGATATTGTTTCGAAGAAAAATGAAGATGGAAAATTAATTGTAACACAAAGAGGATTATATTCTTTGATAGAAAATCATTCATCTGCTCGTCTTCTAACTGAATTATTAAATATTATCTATATTGAACTTTATCAATTTAAAACGATGTTTACTGCAGCAAAACCAGCTATTAGAATATATGCATCACAAACAACATCTTCTACTAAAAATGTATCTGTATTAGAATCGAATTCTAATCCAACAGTTATGTTACTTTTTAAAGATATTCATGAACAAAATTTTTGGTATAAAATTATTTTTGAAATATGGTCCGGTATAACAATAGCTCATAAAGAATGTGATACAACTATATTTCATAAAATTTCAAAACATATTGCATTAATAGATACATTAACTAGCATGGATTATAATGAACAAACATTATTACCAAATAAAACAATTGAAAAACCAAAACGAAATTGTAATCTGGTAATTAAATATGACTTTGCTAGAGCAGAATTATCGAAGAAAATTTGCGATATTTATTCGATGTTGTATCTAGTGCAATGGCGGCGCGAAAGGCTAAAAGCAGGAGGGAGGTAATCAGAAAACGAGAGAAAAAAATTCTTAGCTCGAGTGCCCATGGATTTTTGAAAAACTTTCTGTTTTAACTACCCAAAACTAATGAGCAAAAAAAAGGGTCCTTGGTTTAGCTTTCAGAGGATTCTGCTGACCTGCCAACTAGCGTTCATATCCAAAATGACAAAATAGGAGAAAAGTAAATCAGTCTCAAACGAGAGAAAATTCAGTCATTTTTTTCCAAAAGCAGGCGGGGGTACCCTCGCGCTCGCGCCGCCACTGACCTAGTAGCGTAACCAGGATTTTGGCAATGGTTAGGTGACGATGAGCGATGTCTGCGGGGTAGTACGGCGCCGCTCAACCATGTCAGATCTTGGCTACGCCACTAGTTGTATAATCAGTAGGGACAAATAGATATTATCATAGTGTATACACACATTCTAAGAAATCTAATTGATGATCCTTCTTTTTTTCTCTATAGGCAAATATTGATAAGACTATAGATGAATTAACTATATTTACTCGAATGCGAAATACTGGAACATTTAAAACCTTAAATAATGAAACACGAAAAGCTCTTCATAATCGTTTGTCACCATCATTAAATGAAACTAAACGTTATACTGTAAGTTGTCTTGTATTTACTGAAAATCCAGATAATAGATATTCATTATTATGGTGTGCTTATGGTCATAAACTTAAAATGTTTAATACAACAACATGGATATGTAATCCAAATGATATATCTTTTTCTTCAGTGATTACATGTATGTATTCTGATGCATGTGATAAACTTTGGATTGGTTGTGTAAAAGGAGAAATATTTATTGTTGATACAATACAACTTATTTGTAAAACACAATTAACAACAATCGGTGGACAAGGTGGATGTCAAACAATGACATATGATACGATACAAAATCGAATGTTAATTGGTAATCGATCTGGTTTAATTACTATATGGAATACAAACAATCGACAACGTTTATTTGAAATTAATCTAGAAGATATATATCAGAAAAGTTATCATATGCAACAGAAAATATATAAAACTGAAATGTTATTAAATCTTCGTAATCAAATTGAAGAACCAAAAATCAGTAAAAAGATACTATAATTTATTTAAGTTTTATGACTTTTATTTTAATTATAGATTTGTCTTCTTCAACAAGTCCGACAGATATTATTTCAACATTATCAAATGAATTGAAAACTATTCAAATATATGATAATCTTTTGTTTGCTTGTTATCGTGATGATTATATTCTTATTTTTCGTATAATTAACCTCGATACATTTATCTATGAAGATATTCTATCAGTTAAATATACTCCTGAGTCTTCAATGCCAATTCATTCATTTCTTGTTTATAAAGATCAATTATGGATATCAACAAGTTGTATTATTTCTGTATTCAATATAAATTATGGAAATAAAAAGAATTCCTATCATTTAATTATGAAAAAACATTTAGAAGATGATCATCTTCTAACAATGTTAGGTTTTTCAAATTATATATGTGCAGGATCAGCACGTGGATATGTTTATATATTTCGAATGGATAATTATGAATTATATAAAACATTTGATGGACATAAAGATGGAGTTTGTTGTTTATGTTCAATATTAGATATGTATATTATTAGTGGATCACAAGAAGATGATACTTCAATTGTTGTATGGGATAAAGAACAAATAAAAGATGATATAGCCACTATTCGATTGTAAAATTTTATTATAAAATAATGAAAAACAAAATTTTGTGATAGTATTTTTTTTTAAATTATTTTGTTAAACTTGCTTACTAAATAAATATATTCCTCTTCATATAAGAATGTCAAGATGATTCTTGAAACAAACACGAAAGATTCTCGGAGTGGATTCAATCGCTCTTCTTCTTCTTTCGTAACTTTATTTCTTAGTCATATAAGTTAATCATCAGCATAAAAAACTAACTTATATAACCTTGACAGAGAGATGTTAAATTTTCTTTTTCTTTAAGTTGTTTATAACCCCAAATAAAAGTCCTTCTTGCACATGGTTTCTAGGCTATTATGCTTTGCATAAAATTTATGACTAAATAAAGATAAGACATAAGAGTTTTATTTTCGATAAGATATTTATCATATTGAAATGAAACTGTAATGTGATATCTTTACTCGGTAATACATTTGATGCAACGTATGGTAGTATAGAAACAAGCAGGACGAAACTTTTTTTGTATTGTCATATTATCCGTTTCTTTTCTACTGTATGAGTGAGAAATAAGTAGAATGAGTTCGTTTATCAACGATATATTAGACAAAAAACAGTTGAAATTAGTATTTTTCATTAAAACCATCGAAACATTCGATTTCCTTTTCAGAGACATAATAGAAGACCCTGGACTGTCTAATGTGTCGAGGGCTTTAGGATTGCAATAATTTTCAAGTTACTCTCATACGTCTTTTTCGTACATAATTTATTTATTTTTGTTTTTGTCTTTCTTATTTGTATTCATAATCATTCAGCTATAACGCAAAACGCTAATTCTTCCTATATTATTTTTTTTAAAGACGTAACACATTACATTTCTATTTAACATTCAAAAAAAAATCGATGTCTGCTTCAAATCAACAAGAATCATTTCCAGAATTAGTTGGACGCACTCCTCAAGAAGCTGCTGATCATATTTCTAGTCGAGGTTTTTTCTTTTATATCTATATTGTATTTCATGATAGATGAATTTTTATTATTTTCATTGTAGGTTTAATGCCTATTATTGTCAAGGTTAGTCAACCTATAACAATGGATTATTGTGCAAGTCGTGTACGTATCATCACTGATGAAGAAGGAACATCCGTTCTTATAGCACCTACTATTGGTTAAAACGAATTGATAGACGAATTCAAAATTATTTATTAAAAACTATAAAGAAACAAAGTACTCTCCTATTAATTGTGATCTTTTCAAAAATACTTATTAATTAAATATAAAATATAATACTATTTGATCAATCATTTATTGCATGAAGTTGAAATATGTTTACTAATTATCGATTAATGAAGGTCTTAAACAGACGATCTTCCATTTTTTCAAAAATCTCTTCAGTTATTAAATAGTTGATTAAACTCTTTTTTGATTGTCTTTAAAATTAGACATTTTATTTTTATTGAATGTATTAGTCACAGGGTGAAAAGAGTACAAAACTATCTTATCAATCAGAATAATAATAAATATATTGATATTATTTCGACCTTGAAAATATCAAACTTTCTTGGTACAAAATCAATCATTTCTACTGAAAAAGATAAGTGCGAAAAAAAAATAATATCGAACGACTTTTTATTTTGTTATTTTATCATCTACCAACGCATTTGATTCATAAAATAATATTTGGTCAGTATGATAAGATGCATTTTTGAAGTATTTTGTATACATTCAGTCATCTGTTTTGGTCTCTCACACCTATGTAAATTAAAATATTATATTTTTTCCTTTTGTTACCAAAAAATACAATAGAAAAATTTCACTATAAAAACAAATGTAAAATCATGCTTTATTTTATCCATTAGGATTTCAATATGCTTAATCATATCTTCATTTCCTTTTCTCTCTTTTTCGGCGTTGTTTTCAACAGCCCTATCTCAAATCCCGTTCAAAATGGAGTCGACTATGAATGGCTCGGTAAATATTAATATATGTATTAATTAATTATTTCTATTTGAATATTGTATAGGTGGTGGTGTTGAAGGTGATATGATCTTTCATGATGGATTTGATCCGAGATTCGAAGCCACTGGAAGAGGTGTTGCTCTTTGGGGACCTCGTCGATGGTCTAAAAATGAAGTACCCTATGATTTATCTTTGATAACAAGTAAAACGATTTAATAATATTTCTATAGTTGTATTAAATATTTCATAGATGCTGGACACCGTCAAATGATTGAATCAGCAATGGCAAAATTAGTAGAAGTTACTAGTACACATATACCAGATCAAGGAATCAGTAAAGCATGTATTAAATTTCGACCAAAATTACCAAAAGAAATCAATGTTCTTAAAGTCGAATATGGAACTGGTTGTAGTGCAACAGTAAATAAGATCAATAATCTTTTTACAATAATTCGTTTTCTGTCTGAATTTTTAGGTTGGTTTTTCATTTAGCCCAAATACTATGTCACTTGCTTATCCTGGATGTTTTTCTTCTGGTACTATTCAACATGAACTTTTACATGTTCTTGGTAAGAATATGTTGCCATCGAAATAGGATATCAATAATAGTTTTACTTTTCTCTTAGGTTTCTATCATGAACAATCACGTCCTGATCGTGATTTATACATTACTGTTAATCATGGCAATATTCAAAAAGGTCATGTAAGTATTCTTTGTTTAGTTATTCATTTGTAACTATACTAAATGATCTTGTAGGAACACAACTTTTCTAAATATAGATGGGGTAATACAGTATTGAATCAAAATACTACTTATGATTTCAATAGTATTATGCACTACGGTACAAATTATTTCAGTGGTAATGGTCAATCAACGATAACGCCCAATGTACCCGGTGCAAGAATCGGTCAAAGAGATCACCTTAGTCCAATTGATATTGCTGAAGTTCGTGCATTGTACGGTTGTTCAGATTAAAAGTATTAACTTTAGTTAATAATAAAATATGAAATGTGACCAGTCAGGCACTTCGTTCCCTCTTATTCTATATTTTTATTACGAAAAGTTTAACATGATGCCATTTTTATTTTTATCTGCATTGTACTCAATGCAAAAGAAACAAGTAATATAGAGAAAAATTTTATCTAATATCAATCAGCTATACATGTAGGTATTCACTCGAAGATATTGTGCAGTAATCCAAAAAAATGGAATATTCCGTAAAGATAAATAGAAAGTTATGTTGTTCTATAGAATTTAACAATACTAATCTATATCATAAGAATTAAAACATTCACAAATTAAAAATAAAGAGACGCAGGATTACATTAAAAATAATTTTTAAATAAATATATATATATAGTTTGAATAAATGTTTTTTTTGTTGTTATTTGTTTATTGATACATTTGACTAGGAGAAGAAAAAAAGAACTAATTTTATATCAGACCAAAACAAATGATTGTCTATATATATATAAATATTATGGTAATTTATGATGTGTTATTTTTGCATAATTTTTCTCAAGATAATCAATAAAAGCTCGTGTCATTGTTATATTTGTAGGTGTTGCTTCTGATGCATTTCTTAATTCCGTATTCTGTATGAAATAAGGTATAGAAGCAATTGTTAATATTAAATTTTCATCTTCAAGTGGTTGTCGTGGTGAAAGAAGAAACCATTTTTCTAGAGTCGCATCATATTCTAAACCACTATAGGTTACAAACATGCCAGTATTTATATTATGTAAACCACGATTTAAAGCTTTAACTAATGTTATACCATCAACACGTACTGATGTTATATTAGTTAGAAATGGTAAACAACGTAATATATCATATTGAGTTATTGTACCCATTAATTGATCATCAAGACGAATAGCACCTGCATTAAATACACATATTGATGTATGAACTGCATCCATCATTGCCTTACATAATGCACGTGTTAAGTGTGTTTGTTGAGAACGTATTACTGCTGAACGACCATCAAAATTAAGTCCGGCTGGTAAAACACAAACTACATGTTCCGGTACATAACCTAAAAATATTCAATAGAAAATATGTTGATGCATTCTTAATTCAACTTATTAGAGATTATTTTATGTTGTATGTAAGTAGTGTCTCATATTAAAGTTTAGACGAGTATAATACTATCTATTATGCATATATATATATCACTTCTGTCTTTAAAAATTTTTTCGTCGATATGTTCATTGTACGTCATTGGTTTACTAACTAAGGTATCAGTTCATAATATTAAATTATTTGCTACAGTCTTTGAAGTATATAAAATGATTGATAGGAAAGACATTTTATTATGTATGCAATGTCACACATCTAAAAAATTGATTATACTGCACTTCTTTCTATTATTTACTTCCAAAGAATGTTTTAATATGACAAAAAAGTTGTCACGATGAATAAAATCCCATTAATGAACTACTCCTTTCTTTATCTAATATATAAGAATCTACATATGACGTAAATAAATGTAGCTATGAAACAATCATTACCAGCAACTCTATATGCTTGTAAACCAGCTTGATAGAAATAATCTGCTATTTTAGCTGTTTCAGGTTCATCTTTAAAACGTCTTGATACTTGTGTTAATTTAGAAAAAATTAATAATTGTTTTGTTTTTGGTTGATAGGCAAAACGATGAATAAATACCGAGAATGCATTATCATCTGCTTTATATATTGGAGTATGTTTTGATCCACGTTTTAAATAATAATTTTCATGTTCATGTCCACCCATAAGTACATCAATCGATGGATTATGTTCAACTATTTCAATATCATTTTGCATATTTAAATGTGTTAAACATATTATGATATCCCATTTTAAATTTAAATTCTCACGAAGATGTTTTAAAAGTTGATGTGTAAATTCTGGTAAACCTCGTTGAGGTGTTATTGTAACATAACGTTCAGCTGTTGGTGGTCCCATATTATCATCAATTGTTAAACCAATAAGAAGAATTTTTATATTTTTCATAGTTATAATTTTATATGGTAAAACATTATGAAATGTTTTTGTTGTATTACGTTCATAAACATTCGATGCTATCCATTGAAATCGAGATTCATTTAAACGACGTCGTAATGATTCAACTTTTAAATCAAATTCATGATTACCTAATGTAGCATAATCAAGACCAAGGACATTTAATGTAGCAATCATCTGTTTACCATTTAACATTGATCCATTTACTATACTATTACCTATAGTATTAAAAAAATATTTATTTGTTTTTGTATAATAGTAATCATAAGAAGTTTAGTTTAATCATTTATATAACAATTATGAATAATACATTGTCTCTTCTCATTTAAGGTCAAGGAAAACCTCTGGTCGATTGTATATATTATTATTTAGTAATAAGGAAAGCACATCAAAATAGAAATATATCAAGATTATAACAATTAACAAGAACATTAGTGAAGCTTCAGACGCGAATAGTATTTTATAAACAAACGCGGAATATCGCTCTTTAACAACTAAAATATACATTCGTATTTTTCAAAGTACATGCGTTCATAGCTACAATTAAATTCTAACTTTTGTCAAAACGATCACTGTTTTTGCCCTCGGTCATATATAGAATATCTTAATACAATTAATAATCATTTCCATATTTCTTCTATTCATTGTATCATTTCTATCAAAAGAGTAAAGCTAAACATGAGATATCTATCATATCTATATTTGTATGTATCATAACATGTGTCGTTTACATATTGTTTTCATCATCAATATGATATCTAGGTCATAGATAGAAATTTGCAATACTAAAAAAAAACTTTCATACCTAAAGCTGAGGGACTAACAATATCACCGGATAAAATTGTAATTGTATTTGGATTTTCTTTTAAAAGTAATTGTCGAATTGTTGCGACACGAGCTAAACCACCTTTCGTACCACCACCTAATGGTATTAATTCATAAACATCATTCATTTGTAGGACTGTCCATTGTACATATGACTGCGGATTATTAAGTTTAGGTGGTGAACCAATATCATCCAAAAATGATGCTAATAATCGTTTATTTTCATTAAAAATTCTTGTAACGTTATTAATTTTAGTCAAATTTCGATATCCAACTGGATCTATCGTACGAAACCATCCAGTTAGGGCAAGAACAATACAAATAATACTTAGAAATATTATGAAAACCAATTGCCAAATACTTATTTCAATTTTCTTACGACAATTCATAATTAATATAATAATAATGTTATTTATATTTGAAATTTTTTATGACATAGATATTAACAAACCGCACGAATGTTACATTTACTTTTCAACTTGTATGCTTCGTTCTTATCTTAGTCTTGATAAGCGATTCATATTGCTCGTAATAGTATAGACGTAAATGAGAATATGTTTGATACAATAACTTGATGAATATACTAACGTGACTTGTGTAGATCAATAACGAATAACAAATCTTTTGTAACTGTATGTTTTCAAATTTTCTAAATAAAATTATCATACTAATCAAGTATATTTAAGCTATCAAATTTATTTAAATATTTTTTGTGTTTTGTAATTATGCAAAATAAGAAATTCATTTTCATATGCATGATGCTTTCAATCAAATACTTACTTATACAATGTGATCGATGATATTTGAATAAAAAGTATTTTTTTTTTCTTCAATATATATAAGTTTATTCTTTTCACAGTAGACACAAAAAGAGCCAATTGAGTTAATGCTTACAGTGTTAAATGATTTCTAAGTTATAGACGAATGTATTGAATATATTTATAGACTAAAGACTTATTGTAAATAACGAGACGGACGATGATAGAAAGAAAACAGAATAAGATATGATAATAACAAACAGGAAGAAATTGATATATTCAACATTTACCAGTTGTGCAAGAACGGTATTATTAGTTGTTTATGACTTTGTAGTTATTATTGAGAATTGTTGCGTTAAGTAAAGTTATTGATGAATGAAAAGAACCAGATCATTTATAATAGATAGAAAAAATATGGATAATTACAATTTATAATGTGTGAGATGAAAAATCATTTATCTTTGTCAATATAATTAACGTTTTGGTATTTTTGCGTATTTCATCAAATAATTAACACTATGATATTCTTCGTCATTCAATGTGCTATTTATAAAGAATAATATCTTTTATTTGATCTCTTAATTAATTTTTATATTAATAACATGTAATTCCTCCTTTTAGTTCCAAAAAATTCAAAGAATAAATATTCTTGTTTTGACGAAAATCTTGAATTGATTTTAGATATTAACACATACTATTTTTTTTGTGTCATTTAGTAATAATGATTTATTTTATGTGTGATGAAGTATCTTATCGGGCTATGGAATAATATTATTTTTTTCTCTCTAGATAAATAATTAATATTAGATTAAATAAAAAAAGAGCATCTCTTAATGTCTAAAATCAATTCAACCTTCTTATCTAGATAAGATAATAATTGTAGTAATTTGTTTCAATTACAGACCTATTGACTAGAATTAGAAATCATCGAGTTCTTTTAATGGCATCGAAAAGAAACTAGGAGTATCGCAACCTTAAACATAAACAATTGAGTTCCATCAAAAAAAGACATATACTTTCGATATTACATATGAATATTTAATTATTGAGTTATTCTAATAAATTCCTTCTTCTAAAAAAAACTATATTTGGTATTAAATAGAATACATAATAATGTCTACATTTTTTAACAAAGAAAGGATTTTTAGATCATTTGGTATTTTTTCTAAAACATCTTGAAAAGGAAATGAAATTATTACTAAAATAGTATCGAATGGTAGTCGGTGACACTATGATCTTTAGGATGTTCTCAGATGATTCTGTGAAAATTCTTTTGAATACAGTGACGAGATTTTAATAATGTTCAACATTAATCAGGAGAAGTCGTGTGTGTATAGGATTAACACTAGACCCTTGGTTAATTAATTAAACAAATATCGAATATTCATAGATTCTTATAAAGTTTCATACACAAATAAAGCTTGGGTAATAAGAATCAAACTTTATAACGAATTAATGAAAATACAGACAATCTTGATTGAAGATCTAAAAGTCAGAAAAAAACAGTTTTCTATTAGCAACGATGTTAATATATCGTTTCTATATGAGTTCTTTTAGAATAAAACTGTATTAAAACGAATTTCTACAGGTTCATCGTAGAACATCCTTCAAGGGCTATATTGTTCTACAAAATTCTGTATTTTGTTTGTCTGAAGGAATAAATTCTGCAGAATATGAAGTATAAATTTCACATATTATTATAATAGAATAGAAATAATAAACATCTCTTCAAGCTTTTATTCTCCTAGTTCAATAATCGATTGACCTTCATTAAGCTTCTATAACATTCGGAAATGAATAAAAGGAAATTACTTGACATATAAAAGAGATCGTACTAAATTTTTATAAGTAAGTCATCATATTCTCTCTATTAAATTGTAGAAAGGAGACAACTATTATTCCTCAAAAGCGTGTAATCTAAAACTTATTAGTAAAAGCAAGTAAATTATCGAAATTTTATAATATATCAATAATTTAAATATTTATAATGTTAAGAATAATAAATAGAAAGCAAAAAAAAGTCAAGGATTTATACGAATGACGACAGCAGAATAATAATGTGAACGTGGAAAATCTTAGATAAGAACAGAAAAACTTCTTTTCTTTTCTTCTTTGGATATCTACGTAACATTATCTTACTTGTTAAAATCATACGATATTTCGAAAATGGAGTTACCTCTAAGTATTGAAGAACTTATTCATGAACTTGATGAACCTAATTTAAATGGTTGGAAATTATTTGCTCAAACTTCTGACGTTAAAGTTTATCGAAAAATTGATGATGAGAACGTAAATTAAATGAATTTATCATAACATTTTTATTTACTTTTTCTTTTTGTAGAAAGGAATACAGTATAAATGTTATTCACATATTCCTGATGTAACACCAGATATTTTTTATAAAGTAGCACTTGATGTTGATTATCGATTAGTTTGGGATAAATATCTTAAAGGTAAATATTCATTACTTATTGTTTATGTAAACACTTCTTTTATTTCTAGAAGGAAAAATAATAAATGATGGAGAAAAAGAAGGTGTCTATTGGGAAATGATAATGCCATTATTTATTGATAATCGAGATGTATCCTTTTATTTTTGTTTCATAATTTATTTAAAACTTTTCTTTTAAATATTAAATAGTATACATTCACACAAAAACATGATGAATATGATATTGGTAATCGTCATTTTTATTATGTTATGACACATTGTGAACCATTTACAAATGTTCCACCAAGAAAAAAAATTGTTCGTATTGAAAATTGTCAATCACAAACCTTACTTTGTTCGGATGGTGCAAAAGGGCTTCGATGTATGTAAAGATTTTCTTTAAATTAATTTAAGATTATTTTTTTTTTGTATAGCTATTTTTATATATTATGAAGATCCACGTGGTAGTATTCCTAAAGCTTTGTGGACTTGGGCTGCTAAAGTTTGTCGAAATTTTTCTGTTAAAAAACTAAACTTTTTATTCTTTAATTTTAGTTCGGTGTTCCAATATATGCAAAATTAACACATAATGCATGTCTATCTTATCCAAATTGGATAAAAGATAAACAAACAAAGTTACCTGATGTAACTGAACATGATATTGATAGTGCAGCAATTCTAACGACAGATGATAATGATAATACACAAGAAAAATAACTAACAGATAAACATTTATATCGAATATAATTTTATTATTTATTCAAAGATTTTTTTTATTTTTAAACGTAATTCAGGCAACATAGCATCTGTATTATCGATAAATAAATCGATACTACCTATTTTTGGTAATTGTCGAATATGATTATCTTCTATTTGTGTAAAAATAATATCAGCAATCATTCCTCCATTAATTACTTGAAATGGTCTATCATGAAATTGTGTTGTTTCAGTAGGAATAGTTATTATTGATGAGTCTATTGTAGGAAATAATTTTTCCTTGGTAATCACTGCCAATTGTTGATAAGCTATACTAAGGTGGCTTTCACGTTCTTTCCAATTAGTTGCCAGTTGAATTTTTCGAAGTATAGGTTCAAACTGCGAACCATACGTAGTACATTGCCGAAATGCTGAACCAAACCATTTTGCATAGGGATAAAATTGTTTTTCTAAAAGAAAAATAAGTCGTATTATATCACGTATAAGTCGATTTGCAATTAATGATGAACCGAGTTCATCATTGACTTGTCCAGCTCGACCCATTAAATGTTCTTCTTGCCCAATACGTTGCCAACAACAACCGATTAAATATAACCAAATATCTTTTGGATAATAAGCAAGTTGTGATCGTATATGATTAATTTTGATATTGTTTGATTCATGAAAAACTTGACCTTGAGCAATAGTTAATAGATGTTGACTTGGAAATGTTAACCAATCTTGATATGTTGGTTCACCATTATCAATTATCCAATTTAGGTAATCAATAAAAAATTGTTTCATTGTCATTATACGAAGGCCATGACATGTATTATCTTGATTATTTGAAACATTTATAAGAGTTATTTGTTTATCTTGCTCAGTAAATGCTTGAAATTGTGTAGAATAACCACATATCGTTTTATCACGAAGATTTTTCATAAAAAATAGATTTAATTCATCAATATATTGTTCATTTTCAAGAAATATATCTAATTTTGGTCCCCAATCATGATCTCGCGATTGAATTGTATCAAAATTAAGTACATCAGAACCAGGTCCTAAACGACAAGCTACATATTCAAGTGAAGAATAATGTTCATCAAGTAATGGTTTAACAATATCGAAAAAGAATCGTTCACATAAATCAAGTCCATGAACAAACGGAATATCATCTGCATATGACATTATATCTATTATAGACAAAAAAAATAGAACAATATTCTTTTTGTTTTATTGTGTAATTACAGTATTTTTAATGATTCATCTCACATCTCAATTGGTAAACTATGTTGAGTCTTACTTTTACCATTAGAAGATCCATAGACGGCGGAGCGTCTTGAGTCTAGGTGAGGCTCATAGTATTTTTTTCTTTGATCGTTTCTTGATGCAAACGTAGAAAAAATATTGTTCAAGCTGATAGAATCCATCTTCTCCTTGTAAATGTGAATCACAGAGGCAGTGAAACACGGGATAAATACCACTACGTAACACTTCTAAATATTCATATATCAAGCTATTCTTCTCTCTTGTGAAATCGAAGCGTAACTGATATCCGACTGCAATCATGTCAATTCGACGTCAAGACAGCTACTACGAACAATACACATAAAAGAAAAGTATATTTTCTGTGTCTCTGGAAGGAGCATAGCGACGATAAGTGAATAAGTGGCGTCAAAACTATAGATTATCGTAGAGTATCAAGTTCAAAATTAGGTGAGTCTCATAGGCTCCGCCGCCCTTGGGAAGATCCATTAAAACAAAATGTTTTTGTGAATCTATTATTTTTGTTAGTTCCTATTTGAAGTACAATTCAAAATCAAATAGTTAATAATATCAGTGAATGTATTTTAATGATCATAAGTTACTATTAAATATAATGAACGTTTGATCTATATTGATAAAAAAAAGAAATGAGAATCACACGAAGCGTGTTCAAGTATGTATTGCTCACGTTTATATTTTAATTTGCTTTTCTTTTTTTTTTTTTGTAAGAACTAATCGCACTCATATAGTGTTCGCGATGGAAAAGAATATACATTAGTAAAGGTAATCTGATTGGCTTCATCACGCATCTACTTCTTCATCTGTTATCAGCGCAACATGAATAGTTTTTCCGTTCTAATAAAACAAAAATGGTTCATTAGAGAAAATGAACATAGTTAATCTTTTGCAAAATGTTTATTTTTTCGATTTATTTAAAATAAAACTTAAGTTTATTGGCGTCATAATTATTGTTTGGTCAAACCATTTATGATTAATTGCATATTTGTTTCTATTATCTCCATACTACACTCAAAAAATTTCGACGCCAATGAGAGCAATAATAATAATTACATGCATTGAGAAAATCACTTAACATCAACAAGAATATCAATAATAATTATAGATATTGGAGAATGTTCGATGATAATTAAAATTATCTCTTTAGTAAAGCAATTGTTTTTAATTATGAACTAATCATCAAATCATTGGTGCTCAATCAATATGAGATAAATATTAGAGGAGAAACAAAAAAGAAATGCATGTTGTGTGTCTACCCATTATCATGTTCTCTCAATGTTCATTGAAGCAAACATTTCAATTTGCTGTTCAGTTTCTTCATCAATAGGTGGGGATATCGATGAGTAAAAAGGGGAGTGAAAGTTGTCATCATGATATGATTTCAATATATATGTTCACTTTCTCGCTTCATTACCGCCATTCAAAAACATATTTCGTTTTTTCGTGAAAGGAAAATGTATATGCTTCTATATATATAAATACTTAAATTACTAATACAATGAATTAGATTACATAGAAATAAGATCAAACAAAAAAATATCCTGCTGATATAGTTGCTTTTTAAAAGAGTGAGAGAGTGAAAAGGATCCGACTGGTAATTGTTTATATTTATTATAATTTTCTCACTTAATTATGATGATAGAATAATATGCTTCTCACGTTATTTGTCATATAAGATTTATTATAGATTATACATTCATTTCAAAGTACAAAATGACTGATTTTTTTCAAGATAAAAAGAAAACAGATTGATAAGTGGGTGGGTTGGTTGGTTGTTGTAAGCGGAATTAATTGAAAAAAGAAAACGAATTTTCTAACCACTTGATTAGACTTGAAGATTGCATGTTCACTTTCACACAACATAAGATATTCAATCAGACAGGCAAAAGTCCGAATATGTATGTGTCAGTAACTGAGTTCAAAGAAGCTTTATGTCGATCAATAATAATGTACCGATTGTCAATTAGAATTTTTTCTTCTTGATAAGAAAACAAAATCTTTTTTTTGTTAATAGTCATTATAAAAAGAAATCATTTATCAAAATATGGAAGATATATAATTTCTTTTTTTCGCTTTAATCATTACTTATGTCTTTTTGTTGAAAGAAAAAGAAAGACATCACTCGTCTCGTCAAGTTCAATAATATCTTGTTAAGATGGTGTAATGGATTGTGTTTTACTCGAAAGAATGTATTGCACATTAAAATTCCCATCCGTTTGATGATCAGTGTTTTTTCTTTTTAAACACATATTTACACACATATAATATACACCTGATAATTGTCATCGACCGGCTGCTTCAGGGGGTACCGCTCTATTATGAATAAGAAAACAACACTGATCATTGACATAAAATCTTTTGATGATAAGAATAAAATACGATAATTTACTGTCTATGTGAAAAAAAACGAATTGAATTAAGTAGATTAACGAATAATGAAACTATAATTTTTTTGTTCTCTTAGTAATTAATAGTTCAAATCTTCTTATCTAATGTAATAGTTATTTGTTTTTTTAATTTTTGATGCAACCAGTTCAACCAAGATGACATTTGAGCTAATTGCATTTTTATACAGTTGTTCAGCGAGCCTTATCGAATCTCATTTGGTTTGATCCGAATGTGAATGGGCGCATTTTACTTTCACAAAGAGACAAGTCCGCCTTATTAATGTCAAATGACAGGCGTGCTCATGCTTCTGATTTCTTCTCGTTGTCCCCCTGAGACAGACAGACAGAGCAATGCTCGCGCAATCGATAGGTGAAGAAGCGCGCGTACATTATAAGTTGCTGGATCAAATCCGATTAATGCACATTTTGCTTTGACATATGAGAACAAGAGAGATGGATACATTATCAAATGACAGCATCACAATATAGTCAAAATGAATGAAACGAGGTCCCTATGCGACAAAAGAGCAAAAGCTATTAATAAAACTAAACGAAATAAATGAACATATATACAGATGGTAGGGGTGCGAAATGAAATCAAATATTCGATTGATAAGTAGATAAAACTAGCAAACAAACTTCTCATTATCATTATTTTCTTTTTTTTTCTTTTTTACTAAAAGAGCGTGACAAAGTTAAGTCGGCAAATTGATTTAATTGAGCTCTTACACTCGTTTTTTTTTCTTCTCTTCATCATTCAGTCGATTATCACCTTAGGAAGCTAAGAGCATGCACATCAAATCCATTTCCTGCTCCATTTGACAATGTCAATTTCACTTTTCTTTTCTCTGGTCACATTTTCTTTTTTTCTTCTCCTCTCAAAAAAGAAATTGTCACTGATTGGCCGATTGAGAAACGATTATTAACCATAGACATTTTTTTTCATTGGTTCTTATTCTTGATTGGCGAAAGATTAATTTCGAGAGAAAGAAACTAGAAGAAAAAAAGAGACATACACAAACTCAGCAGGATCATAATTGTACAAAAAGAAAAGAGTCTATGTAATTTCCGTTAGACATAAATCAAACAATTGAAATGGAAGACGAACAAGATTCAACTATACAAAAAAAATTAAGTTTTTCAATCGATAATATTCTCGACAAACCACAACCATTATTTATTAAAATAAAACATCATCATCATTTACTTATTGATAGTAATAATCATCATCATCATCAACGATTAACATCTGCAGATGATAATAAACATATACATTATGATGAACATCATGGTAGTAGTGATTGTTCAGCAATATCAACGAGTGATGATGATGAAAGTTGTTCAGATGATGGAATTATAAGTCAATATAATCATCATGAAATTATTCATAGAAAAAAGAAGACACGTACTGTTTTCTCTCGTACACAAATATTTCAATTAGAAACAACATTTGATCGAAAACGATATTTATCCAGTGCAGATCGAGCTAATTTAGCTCAAGGTTTACGACTTACTGAACAACAAGTTAAAGTAAAAAGACATGACTTTTTTAGTTTTAAAATAAATCTCTTTTATATTTTATAGATTTGGTTTCAAAATCGACGAAATAAGTATGAAACGTTTTTTTCCCTATTTCCTCCAGATAAGAAAAACTCATTTTTAGATTGAAACGTCAAATAGTTGAAGCAAGTCAATCAATAAATTCAGTTGTTGCATCTTTACAAACTCCATCATCAACATCATCATCGAATCATACATTATCATTACCCAGTGATTTTTCTTCTTCATCTTCATCGAAACAACATCATCGTCATTTTGATCCAGCATCATTCTATGAATTAGCTACACTTGCTGCAGCACATGCAGCAGCTGCTTTTCATAATAATAAATCTCAAACTAGTACAACATTTCAAGATTTTGCCAATTCTCTTACAACGCAAACAGCCGTTTGACTTTTATGACTGAGTTCATTTGTCTTGTTCGTTCTTCTTTTTTCTTTCATTTTTTTTTTGTATGTCAATTTGTGTGTATGTATGCTGAAAAAAGAGCTTTTCCAAGTAATCGAAGCATTTCACACTATGTTATTTGATCCTATTGCCTAGAAATGACAACTATTTTAACTATTGAGAGACAATCTGCATATGTGAATGAGAAACGCCCTTTTTTTTTGAATACTTATCGAACAAATACTGATTGAATGCTCGTGTCTCCAAAATATAATCGTCGAGCAGAAGGTGATTAGTCTTTTGACGCCAATGATTGAATCATCATATGTTTAAGGTAGAAGAACAATAAGAATGCCTTTAGGAAACAACAGTTAAGAGGATCATTCAAATAATTATGATAAGAATTTATATATTTCATAAATAGACTTTTTTAAGAATTCATATTTGATTAGAGTCTTTTGTACCGAAATAATTTCTCTAAGATTATATCTATTTTCAAATTAATAGAAAAACGTAGTGATTATATTCAATTAATGTTTGCTTGTTAGAAAAAGATTAGAAAATAATGAATCTGATAAATTTAAATGAATATTTCCAATGCGATTAAACATAAGAGAAGTCAAAATGAAGACTTTGAAATTCTATACAGATAAAAAAATAATTAATAATAGCATCAAGGTATATATATATAAACGAGACAAATCATAAATAACTAATGTAAGATTAACACACAAAAAAAATAACATTGTAAATAATTATTGAATGAAATAAGACACGAACGCTAGTAATCTTATCTATTCATTTTTTTTCTTCTTGAATACAGATTATTTACATATTTATAACGAGGTGTCGAATCATTTAGTAACTTCTATAATTCGAATGTAACGAGTTGAAAATAGAAGAGGAAAAAGAGATCATGCGAAATAGACGACGAGAGAATGTTTTCATAGATTTTTCGATTAGATATAAAGGCATGCATTAAAGGACATGTGTATTTATTTTATCTCTTTCTATATATCATCATCATCATATATTACATATTCGATTAAACAATTATGATTGGTCATCGAATCATATTCGCTTTCATAGCTTTGTTTTTGTTCTTAGTTATTACTATTTCAACAGCTCCAATTCTTGATAGAACATTGGTAACAGAAATAGTATTCAATCTAACAACTAATGAAACAGTTACAACAACTGAACCAATTAATTATGATAATGAAAGTGAATCTAATGAAACATCAATTGAACAAGATATGAATATGACTACATTCCGTTATACGAGAACAACTACATCTATTCCAGAAACAGTAACTAGTGGTTTTCTCGTTGGTAATTTTAGTGAAGTATCCGAGAGTATTGATGATCTTATCAAAATAAATGATTCGTTTTTGTCTACGAGTGAAGATGAAGTACCTGCAACACCAATTGAAAGTCCGGAATCTGTTAAATTAAATACAACTCATTATTGAACATTAACAAGATATATATAAACATTCGTTTTGATTTTTTTTTGTTTCTTGAACTTAATAAAACTACATTTGTTTTTTACAAACAAATACTCTTTTTTTTATTTATTTACATTAAATATTTAATCACATATTTGATTATTTTTTTTGACTACAACATAAAATTTGATACAAAGACGAACATCACCGGAAATTGTAAAACAATAAATATATATATATATATATTAATCAGGTTCTAAAAGTGACATGAAGTGATATTGTATACCAGAATTTTTTTCATTATTAGTATTTGCTGTTAATAATTTGTTCATATTCATAGATTCAGTATTTTTATTCACAGTTGATGTTGTTACATCAATAATAATATTATTTGTTGGTGCTGTTGTTGATGAATGTGGTCCAAATTTAAATTGATTATTAAAATAAAGTGTTATAAATGGACATTTACCAAGAATAATCTCAAATAAATCACGTCGAAGACCAAACCACCCTAGAAAAAAAAGTGTTTTTCTTTTTCTATCGAAATATATATACTTTCTGAAGTTATTTGTGAACGTTAGGTACTACCTTCATGAATTAAGTGAGGCTAATATTGATCAAAAACTCTCATGCAACTTCATAAAAATGACCCATAACTCATCTTACATTATTGAAGCAAAGACTACTCGGGAGATTTTTAAAACTACTGTATAGTGATGGCCCTTGTTTATAATAGAAAAGGACGTGAAGTTATTGCCTTGTAAAAATTCACAGTGAGGGAGGAATTTCTAATGATTTCTGTGGTTATAGAGTATAGTGTCTGTGCATTATAACAACATAAAAAAGTCTTAATATTTCATGCTTCTGTGAGAAGAACTTTGAAAAGTCTATCGGCAATTTTGTTTTGCACTCTACTGTATATATAATTACATGGATTGCTATCTGTAGCACCAAATGAAAATGTAAGCCATGCTATTAAAGCAATCCATAATGGAATAGCTATCACAGTGAATGAGATTTTTCCATTTTGTTCATTATCTTCAAGATCAAGTCGATCAGCAAGTAGAATCTATATAAATTAGAAGTGTCATCATAGTTATTACTCTATCTAATAAATAATATATTACCGCAAAAATGCTAAATGGAATGAACATGATTGCATAAATAAATGCTTCTGTAATCGTACTTGATTCACGTTGGTTAGTTATTAAACGACGAGAACAACGATGAATAATAGCAAGAATTAATTTTGAAATGACAAATAATAATGTAATACATAATGATATCCATAATGGAATAAAGACAACCTAAATCGATTAGAATTCACTTAGTTTTTTTCTAGATTTAAGCAAACGAATACATACAACATATCGCCATGTAATTAGATCATCTAAACGAAGTGGAAAAAACAAAAAGAAAAGTCCATTAGCTGATATAAACGCTTGAATCTAAATAAAATCATAATCGAAAATAAAAAAAATATTTTACTTCTTTTTTTTAACATACGAGAAAATTTCTTTGTACTTTTAATGACCACAAGCATGATAAAAAGGCAAGACATGTACATAGAAATAATGGAATAAAACATACAGTCCAATGAATATCTAAATGATTTTCTAGTTTGTCACATGTAAGTATTTCAAATATAAATATAAGTATATGAAGAAAAAAATAAATAATTAATGCTCGACAATCATTATCAGGTGTACGAATGAATCTATAAGAAAATTCGAATGTTATTTTTTAGATATTTAAATTATAAAAGAAAAAAAATTTTCACCTATTTCTTTCGCCATTTTTACACCATAAAAAGACACCTGTACAAGCACCAAAAACTACAAGCATTTTCCATATAAATAATGGCAAGAAAACAAGCCAATAACTAATTTTAATATATCCATCAAGTTGTAATGCAAATAAGATTGAAAAGATTAATAAAGAAAAAGTAATAACAAAACGTCTAAATTTAAACATAAAAAAATAAATTAAATTTTATTTTTTAAAAGAAATTTTTTACGCTGGATTACACGACTGTATATACTTCGAAGTGTCCATCCATTATAGATTCATCTACAATCAAAACAAAAAAAAAGAATTTATTTAGATGCACAATAAATACATTTATTTTTTAATCGGGTTCGTGTAATTTTAGGATATTCGATGGTGATAAAAATACAGTTGTTAATAAATCATTTTCATCATGATCAACTTTTGATTGATCACAAAATGATGGTGATTTTTTACGAAAAAAAAATCGACGAGTACTTTCGATATTTCGATTTAAATGTCCTGTTGATATTATCGATGGATTTGCTGTTGTTGAAGATATATTATGCGTTGGTAATGATGGAGAATCTGATGTAGTAAAATGATATTCAATATTTGCATAAGTTTCAAATATTGGACATAAATGTAAAAGCCATCCACATGCATCTTGTCGTAGACCAAACCACCCTTTTGAAATGAAGAACAAAATTGATTTTTTTTTAAGGCAAACGAAAGCTTTTTCTTACAATGATTAGGTGGTACTCGACTACCAAATGACATATAAATGAGTATTATTAATGCAATATACAATGGTAAACACACAACAATAAATGAAAGAGCAATAGAGCGTTCCAAATAGAAGACTAACAGTATCTATATAAATTTAAATATGAAGATTTAATATAAGAATAAGAATTTTTACTTGAAAAATAAGTAAAAATAGAAGTACACATATATGACCAACAGTTGGACTTGTTAAAATTTGACAACATCGTCGATGTAATTGTTGTTGACTCATAGGAATTTGATGATTATCATTTCGATAATAATGTACAAAAGTCCATATAATACGACCAATACAAAAAATAATAGATATACCCATGACAATCCATAATGGAATAAATACTGCCTAAAACAAGAAAAGAATTTTAATTTAAGTAATAAATTTTTTTTAAAACAAACCGCATAATTCCATGTAAGAATACTATTATCTAATTTAAGAGCAAAAAAAATAAATTGTAGAATATTAACAACAAATAATGCTTGAATCTTGAATAAATAAAATATATATATATACATAGAAAATCTATTTTTTATTTACCTCCCAGGAACGACCATGACGTAATAACCAAACATAAGTAAATACGGATATAATTGATAGAACAATTAATGGTAGAAAACAAACAATCCATGTTAAACGATATTCTGAATCCTTTGGTTGTTCAAGATTATAACATATTAAAAATTCAAAAAGAAATAAAAGAATTGTTTCAATTAAATTTAAAAATAATGCTCGACAATGAATTGGTGAATTACGTTCACGACTAACATTATGAAACAAAAACAAATTTAACAATTCATTATTTTTAAAAAAACTTACTTTCTCGGTCGAATACAACAATATGTAAAAATTCCAATAATAGCTCCTAATATTGCCAAGATTTTCCAAATAAATAATGGTAGAAAGACTAACCAATATGGCCAAAGTATAAATAACTGTTCACGAAAAGCATAAAGAATACTGAAGATAAGTAAGCAAAATGAAACAAGAAATTGACTAACAAAAAAAAAAAAAACATATTTATTTTAGAAAAGAAAATATATATATATATATTTACCATGCATTAAATTCTTGCCAAACTGAAACTCTGTTCATCGAATCATTTGATATTGAATAAGATTATTTATAATAAACTACATTATTAACATCGTCAATAATATTGTCTTAGTTTTTATTTTTTTTTCCTTTTGTCCTTGTTGTTCTTACTAGACTTAATCAGCCATATGTCTTTTTTTACCAATGTAGGAATGTGTAGACATTTTTCTGACTAGATGGCGCTAAGAATTTGTATCAGTTCTATAAGATAATTGTTCGAAATCGAGTTAAAATGAATTGAAAGTTTAATATTAAAATATGAAATAGTCATTGCATCGTATATATATTTATTTATCATCACTGTGAAACATGATTTTTAAAATTTATTTGCAAACACAAATTTATATACTTTCAACAGATTAGTTTATTTAAATCTTGAGGGTGTGGATAACACTTATCAATTATTAAAGTATCCAAGATATCTTTCGATTAAAATTCGTAATGGAATCGTATAGATTGCACAATCTGTAGGTTCTACTCGTACATCATGAGTTACTTACTCAATTTATTAAATCAACAACAAAGCGTTCTGATTTTATTAATATTATTCTTTTTTATATTTTTATTTATTTTCCTATTCATATAATTTTTATCTTTTAAATTCTTTTATATTAATTTTTTTAAAATGCATAGCTCCAGTGTTTTTGTACTAGTAAACAACTAGTATGTGATCTGATGAAACGAAACGTGATTGCAATTGCCAATCAAAGTCAAAAGTAGTAACGGTAGCGACATCTAAAATGATAATAATGTTACACTTGGAGTTAATACCTGCAATATCTTAATTTTTTAATTAAAAGCGAGTTTTATTTATAGATGGTACCAACATAGAGATCTTCCATATCAACACACAAATTAATGGCGTTCAATTGCAATGATCTACATAAGATTAGTGAACGTGATCGCCATTATTTGATTGTTAACCACATTACATGCGCATATATAGATGTCGCACACGTTCCCTTTTTTTATCAGAGTCTGCACCAAACATCCGAAACTACTATTTTCAATGATTTCATATGACTAATACTTTCTGAAAATAGCAGCTTTGGAAACTCAGTTTCATTTCCAAGTGCATCAAGAGATATGCACGATGTCGATGATTGAATGAATCATCATAGTTTGAACATAAACTAAACACAAAACGCTTCTGAATATTCAACAATGCATTTTTTCCATTATTATATTTTTTTTACTTCAATAACAATACAATCCATTGATGAAAAGCAAAAGTTGAGAAGAGCAGATTGTATCTGTTTATCTTCATGATAGATCGATCAGTCTTTTTTTAAAACACCCACACCCTCAAGATTCTAATAAACATGGCATGTTTTTTTTGTGTACATATTTTATTAAAATAAAAAATTTTGAAAAAAAAACAAAAACTGAAAAAAAGTAAAGTAAATGCTTGAGTATATATGGTAAAAAAACTAACTAAAAAATATGAGAAGAAAAAAAATTGATAATAGATAATGTCTGATAATAATAGTGCTTGGTTAAAATATTCGAGTTTTGATATGATGAGCGTATGTGCCATGTATCCTATAAAAGAAAATTAGTTAGTTAGTTCAATGTCATAAAGTACTGCAAATGATAATCTGAAAGAAGAATGTACAAATAATGAGACAAAAATATCAGAACGTTGTCCTAATTAGTTATTATCAAAAAACTGTATTAATATAACATACTTGCTTTATTTTTCACCACTCTTCCATTCAAATATTCTTTTCATTTCGAGGAAATGATTGGGCTCATCTATAAAGGTCATCCAGTAGAATGTAATATTTTTTTACCTTACAACGCATCTAAATGCGTGTGCTTTCATCTTTTGAAAAAAATCCTTTTCTTCGTGCAGATTCGTGCTGTGTCATCATCAAATTAGTATGTCGGTCAGCTCTTCCCAAAGGCATTCGAATTTTAAAATTGTGCCTTGAACGACGCTAGATTAGAAGACATTTGATTATAGGTCTACATATCCAAACCAAAGAGACACATTAGCTTATGAATATATCAGATGTATTTCTGTTCCGATAAGAGAATATAATATCATTTAAATGGATAACTGCTATAGTAAGTTTTTTCTTAAAAAAGATGTTACTCTTATTTGTGGGTGTATGTGTGATGGAAAACAGAAGAATAGCATTCATACCCATCCACTCACTCACACCCTGTTGCTCCAGGCGGTTTCGACTAAGTCTTTCTAATCCACGTGCAACAATTTGGTCAAAGTAAGCAATTTCTGTAACGAATTTTGGAATGAATAAATATACTGTTGTTAAATGAGGATAGAATATTCGTTACTTGCTGCAGACTTTATTTTATTTGTGATCACCAAGAGAAATTGGAAGAGTAGCGTTACCGCTATCCCCGGTATAACACGAAGTTCACTACACTACTACATTATTCCAACTCTGTCTTTACAACATAAAACACTCGCTTTATATACGCACACAAGATATAATAGAAAAAGAGATAGAACACGCGTTCTATTCATTACATAAGAGTGACTTAATTATGTCTGTCGGCATCGTCACGACACTAGACAGAACATGGCTAATGCAGCTGTCACATCAGTCTGATAGTGCATGCGTGATATTATTACTATATTACATAACAACAATGGCGATGTACTACTTCCTTCCACGAGAAGAGGAACGAAAGAAAATCGTAAGAAGAGGAAAGGTGAAATGTGAATCATAAAAAGGATGTCCAGCCAGTATTGGCACAATTTCGGTTATGTATAATCATTAGATAAATTTTTTGTTATATCAAAAGGTCTACCGGTAGCATTCTGTCTTTTGCCAAAGCGACGATCACCAACATACACAGAGTTATTTCAAAGATTGAAACATAAAGCAACAGTATTGGGCAACCAGTTTGAAGCAGAACGTGCTATATCTGGTTTTGAACCGGCATTACCTTCAGTTATTCGACAAGTAGTAAATTTTTCGTTTCATTTGTAGTAATATTAGTGCTAAAAGGTTTAAAGTGATACACATCCTGATTGTCTATTCCATTTTACCCAAGCTATACATCGTAAAATAACAAACCTAGGACCACGTGGTAATTATGCACAAGGTGCAACAATACGCGAGCAATATAAACAACTAATGACATTGAGTCTAATGCCGATTTGTGAAGTTGAAACACCATTCAAACGTATTTGTGAAATATCATTAACATCATTGGAAGATCTATTTGTATATTTTAGATGTGAATAGCTTAATTAGAATATACCTTTATCGATGTGCAATGAAAACTACATTAGCCATCAAACAAATAATGTGTCAGAAGGTACTATAGGAAGAGCTCACCTAGAGCGAAAAAAATATCCGGTTCTATTTTGATTTATTTTAATAATAGTATACAATCGTCGATTTAGCACACGTATGATCACAAGACATCCAAATGTATGAACATTCATACAGTTGATTCAAGATTAAATTGTTCGATTTGAACATATAATGATTCTACTAAATGCTAGCGCTTCATCTTCGAAACCAACAAAAACTAGAACAGCTTCTCAAATACGATTTGAAACACTCAATTCAAGGTTCAACAATCATAATATCAATACAAAGCAACTATTGAATGAATTGTCATTATTAGTTGATAGACAAAACATATAAGACAAAAAAATTTCAGTTTATCATTTATTTGAGGGTGTCTTTTTTCTTACGATTGATTAAATAAAATCTTTTTGTCGTTAATATTAATAAAACAGAAAAATATCATTTTCGATGTTATCCTTTCGACATTCTCCTTCATCCTATTTTCCTTTGTCACACTTTTACTTTCTACGTTTTCTACCAAACCCATACTCGTTCTACTACTTTAATTTATAATTTAACCTTTACAGAGAAGTACGACCATACGACATGAATACACACAATCCAACCACTAAACATATACGGTACACGTCACACCAGAGAAATCACCCACTTTCCAACATACACTATCAATTTTCTCTACCCATGCATGAATCCAAAGTTGCTATCGTAATAATTACAACAAGAATCCTAAGTCACGCTATTTTTTGTGTATTTACCACTTTCGATTCTAAAATCTTTCACATCACCTGTCTCTTAAATGGCATATTTTCCTTCATGATCTAATATCATTTTGTAGCACTTGATGAGCTCTATCTATGCTAAAAAAATGGTGGTATTATTAGGCATTTAAGCATTCGATTTACCTTCTGAATACAAGACGTAACATGCGATTTTATGAGTGAAATTTGCTATAACAGGAATCGAATAGGAGGTCGATGGTCACAGTCTACATGCCTATAAATATGATCTTTAAGATGCGTACGTATTTCATTCTACAACAGGGAAGCATACACTCTAAATAAAATTGGTGCTCTACTAAATCCCCAAAAAAGGTTTCGACGTTACGAAAAAGTGTCCAAACATTTTGAAAATTTGAGAAATACGATAAAAATTTCTACGCAACCATTAAAGGTTCTTCCTCCGATACGCGGGAAGATCCTTTAATAGTTTCGTAGAATTTTTTATTGTTTTTTTTCGAACTTTCAACATGTTTGGAGACTTTTCGTAACGTCGAAACCTTTTTTGGGGGTTTAGTAGAGCACCAATTTTATTTAGAGTGTAAATGGCGACGTAGAAAGTGTGTTACAAATGATTTAGTATTAGAAGCGTTTTATCGATATACGGTTCACCGTCCTTTTTACTCTTTTTGTGTGGATACAAACGGCATTATTAAGTGCGGGTGTGTCGGTGTGCGTGTGAATGTCTGTGGAAGTTCATGAAGAATGCACCATTTACTAAAGCCATCACCTTCGATCTGCTTCTTTCGCAAACAATAGCATAAAAAATCGATCTTTCGAGTAAGATGCGCGTAAGTGTGAAGACATACCTTCTGGTTATAAATACAAATCTGCACTCTCTATACACGCATCCATCATAAACAAAGCTATAAACACGCCATCCCTACACTCTAAATAAAATCCGTTTCCAAGAAAACCCAAATGAACTCGGAAACCTTCTCGGAAACCCAAAAAGGTTTGCGAAAAGGTTTCCAATCTTTTTATAGGTTTTCAATAATACCTTTTAGGTTTCCGAATGTTCGGAAACCGATGAGTTTTCTAGAATACTAAATTCGATGCTCTAAGAGTATTCTGGAATACCTTTTTTTCGTATCGGAAACCCTATTACCATCTTCGGAAACCACTTAGGTATTCTAGGAAACCCATGTTGCAAAATAAGTTGATTTGGAACTCGATGGAGTATCCGAAAATACCTTTTTTAGTTTTCGAAATATTCTATCGGAAACTCTTTCGGTTTCCGAACTTTATGTATCTGAGAAGGGTTTTGTAGAAAACCCACATTAGTTTCCGAAGTTAAGGAAATGTTTGCAATGGTTTCCACAATAAGTTAACCTAGCCAACACTATTTCGGAAAAAAATACTTGATACTGGAATGTTCCTTTCTACTGTTTATTTTTCTGAACTTTGAAAGATTTTCAGACAACATACAGCGTTGATAAGTTTTGCATAAAATATATAATTATCAGTAAATCATCTTGCATATCAATATATTCAAGAAATCTAAAACTGCTTCATGTTGTCGACACATTCTAGACTTATCTTTATGTTTTTAAATGAAAAACAACATCAGTCGAATTGTATTCGAAAATTTTGTAAAGAATACAACATTGAACTTCAAGATAAAACTTTATCGTCACCAGTCTATTGTCTTGAAGAAATAGAAAATGTTGATCTACCATTAAATAAAGAAACTGAACAAGACGACGCGAATTTAATTATTGACAAGAAATAAGATAGTCCTGCAGAAAGAATAAATGTGGCTCAAATAATTCAAGCAGAACCAATGTCAATTGATCCGCAAATCAATCAAAAAAGAAAGACAAATCAGCTAGTTGATGAAGAAGCATCAGATAATGAAAATGCTCCACCAACAAAAAAACCAGCTCGATCAACTCGATCAACTCGTCGCGAATCATAGTTAAAATGGAAAAAGCAAAAAGCAGAATGAATAAAACTTATTCAATGCTGCTCTCTATTTCTTATTAAAATGAAGGAATTTCTTTTTCACTTCTTACACTAAAAAAGATTTTCATTTCCTTCTTTTCTATGTCCTTTTTGGTTTCTTTTATTGATAGAGAAGTCTTATTTTAATTGTAGTTTTTCGATAGGAGTCAATCATAAAAACATACCTATTCTTTACTGATACACGTTTTTCATTTTATAAAACTTTTTTACTCCTCATCGTTTCTTTTAATAAAGATTTCTGGTGTTCATTTAACAAACCCTGTCAGATATTATCACTTAATAATTCTAACTGAACTGTAATTTGGCTTCATGTCAGCACGACATTGACAATAAGTAATATACTTGAAAAAAATGAAAAAAAAATCATATTCTACTTTTTCTCTTTAGATTTCTTTTCATTCTAAGATATTCATATATTTGGTAAATTATGTTTCTTTCAAATTAAAGATATTAATGTTCTACCTTTTCTATTTAGGCTTATATTTTTATTCAAAGATATTCATGTTTAGTAAGTTATATATCTTAGAAATTAAAGATAATAAATCTTCTCCTTTTCTGTTTAGAATTAGATTCTCATTAAAAGATATTTATATACTTGGCAAGTTGTGTAATTTAGAAAATTAAAAATAATTAATCTTTTTTTGTTTAGGTTTATATTTTTAGTCGAAGATATCCATATATGTAGTGAGTTATGTAATTTAGAAATTAAAAATAATTAATCTTCTATTTTTTTATTTAGATTGATATTTTTAGTAAAAGATATTCTTATGTGGGGTAAGTTATATAAATTAGAAAATAAAAATAATTATTCTTCTCCTTTTTCTATTTAGAATTGGATTTTCATTCAAAGATATTCGTATGTCTGGTAAGTTATGTAAATTAGAAAATTAAAAATAATTGTTCTTCTGCTTTTTATTTAGGATTTAATTTTCGTTCAATGATATTTATACACTTGGTAAGTTATATAAATAACAAATTAAATATAATAAATCTTATGCTTTTTTATTTAGAATTAGATTTTCATTCAAGCATATTCATACGTTTAGTAAATCATATTTCTTTAAAATTAAAAATAAAAAAACCTTCTTTTTTATTTAGGGTTAGATTTTCTTCTGAAGATATTTACGCACTTAGTAAGTTACACAAATAAGAAATTAAATAAATCATTATTCTTCTTTTTTATTTAGGATTTCCTTTTCGTTCAAAGATATACATTCACTTGGTAAGTTATATAAATAAGAAATTAAAAATAATTATTATTCTTCTTTTTTTATTTAGGATTTCACGTTTGCTCAAAGATATTCGTTCATTTGGTAAGGTATACATTTTAAATTAATAATTATGATTTTATTTTCATTTATTATAGTGCTTCTTGTGGAATTTCGCAAATCTTTGGCCAAGAGAACTAGATATAGGTAGTATATTATATGTAGGTCACGGTGTGAGTGTGATGCTACAGTATGCAAGGTCCATCACGGAAACTAGATATTTTCAGCTTAGGAACTCAGCAAAGGTTTCTAAGCTGGATATCTAGTATTTTATTGGTACTGGTTTTTTACGGGTTTTCGGTAGTTCGGAAACCGGTTTTGAGTTTCCGAACTGAGGGTTTTGTATGGTATAGCTACGGGTTTTTAATGGGTTTCCGATAGTTCGGAAACCGGTGTTCGGAAACTCTTAACGAGTTTCCGATAGTAACAAACTGGGAAACTCTTATTCAGTATCCGAGAATACTGATTTTATTTAGAGTGTAGTCGAAGACATCCGCAGAAATAACGTCACAAACTGTCTCGAATCAAGTCGACTCAAAACGAACAGAGTTAAGCAGTATCTCACGTACACGTAGCAAAACTACATTCCAGCCGAGCTATTACCCTTTTCGATTCATTCTAAGATCGGCATCACAAATGCTCGTAAACTCGCGACAATCGATCGATCACTAACAAGCTATCCAAGTGATTCTTTCAGTGCGTATTCTACCGACAGCCAAAAATAACCGATTCATTAATATTCAGGTTTTATTAAAAAACCCTTCCCTCGGCTAGGAATATCATATGTCTTTTCCTTTAACATTCGTAAATTAACATCAATTAACACTGCACTATTTATGCCACCAAAAATCCGATAAAAATACCGATTCTATCGCGATATAGAAACCGATCAATTATGAGATGTATCGCGATCAAATCGTCAAACATAAAGACTTTCCCTCGCTTTTCTTTTTCAAAACTCTTAATTTCTGGTGATTCCGATAAAATAACCGTTCCTTTCTGCCGATGTAATCGTCGATTTCCTTTTAAATCGCCATTAATCGTGAAAGCCTAGCCGACTTTTATTACATGGCGACCGCTCCATTGTCCCCTTATTTTTCATTTTAAAGTAAACTTCTTCAAAACTATCTCGCGCATTTTGACATACTAAATGTACAGTACTATAAGGAGATGCAACTACACGGAGCCAATTCATGACATATATATAATTCCCAGGAAGATTCTATTCAAATATTTTCTTCAGTTCCTACTAACGATTTCGAGTTCATTACATGATGGACAAACACACACCAAATGAATAATTCGTAAAAAGACTCTATTCAAATAGTTTCTTCAGTCCGCACTAATGATTTCGGGGTCATTACATGATGGACAAACACACACCAAATGAATAATTCTTATGAAGATTCTATTCAAAGAGTTTCTTCAGTTCGCACTGACGATTTCGAGTTCATTACATGATGGACAAACACACACCAAATGAATAATTCATAAAAAGACTCTATTCAAATATTTTGTTCAGTTCGCAACCAAAGTTTCTAGTTCATCACATGGTGGAAGAAGACATTACAAATGGGCAGCTCAAACAAACATTCATCGCC